ATAGAAATAATATTGAAAAAGATACTACTAAATTGATAAAATTAATATTTAAAAAATAATAAATCAATTGAAATCAATGCTAAAAGCAACACCGCGGCCGTGATGTCTACACAGGAACGTAAAGAATATATAACTCAATCCGATATAGCAATCCATATTAATATAATGTCCCCTCGGGAGATATTGCTATCAAACAATCCATTTCAACTTCAATTTATCCTTGTCAGCGTTCATTCTCGCACTCAAATCACGCCTCATAAATATTCATTCGAGTATAACTTTATTTATTCGTATATCATCTGAATGAATCAATATAAAAGTTTTATCAATCAAATGCCTTTGATTAAATTAAATGCAACAAAAAATAAACATGTAAATGCTCTTATAGCGCACTCAGAAATAGGTAATTGCATTTGAAATCCTTGCTTGATTCTGTGCAGCTTACATGCACTAATACTTCATTATTCGAGCAAATTCAATTCAGTCACAATTCACTCGAATAATCGCCTTTGTGAAACAAATCAGCCATCAACATTCTACATTCGCTGCTTATTTCTATACACCATTCGATTGTGCATATCCTTTACTATCCTAAAATGTTTATACAGATCATATACGCTGATGAAACTTCTCAGGACTATAGTAACGAACAGGTAGGTCATAAAACAATGCTTTAAAAAGTTGACGAAATTCCTGAAAGAAGTTCTTGAGATGCAGTTGAAAACTGTAATGACTAGATTTGGACGAGCACAGAGGCAGCAGCTCAACAAGACGACTTTTAAAGTCTCTGATGAAGAAATAATAATCAAAAATACACAACTTGAACCTACTCTTGTTAGACAGCAACTTTACACTTCAATACAGTGTCACAAGGCTTTACCAAATGACAGCAATAAAACAATACCCAGATGTTCAAACAGCAAATATGCATTCATCATTCCAAAAATCCAATTATTTCTACCCATCACTTTAGCACATGACAGCAATATTCTTTTGTGACACACCCGAAGGTAATTGATAGGATTGAGCTTGAATCACGCAATCCGAATCATACACAATTGCAAAAAATAAAAATCAGACATCTGAACACTAATAGAAAATGTCATTAACACCATGGCCAGGAAAATGGCAAACGGTTATAAAACGGTGAAGCCAGTTATAAATCCTGACAATAAAATAACTGTCAGCTACTCGGCACACATCACGGACTGAAAGCAATGAAGTATCAAGCAATTACTCAACTATTGTGATCAAATCAAAGTATAATTCTATCATGTTTGATTGTGTNAAACCAGCGACGTTTCGGCCTTTATCGTTGTGCGATCGCAACGGCTCTACTGACTGTTTCTTCGATCGAACGATTTTCCAAATTTCAATTTTCGCAACTCGAATGACAAACAGATTTCATTCCGATGAATAAATAAGTTGTATAACCAGAAAATACTCACCCAAACTCAAAACTCGCCCTCAGATAATCTTCCTTCTTTGTCACCCCTCACCGATTTCCCAGTTAAACATTGATATTACTTATTAAATCAAAACGATCATTAATCCACACCGTTTGTACCACACAATAAGATATGTTTCAGCCATATGATTAATCTGTGAAAGGTTCAATCTCTGCCTTACTTTCACCTATGGAATTCACTACGTTATCAGAACCTTTCGATCTGAAGAGTTTAAAGTGAGAGATTGTGATTTTATTGAAGGCGGTGATAAGTGATGACTTAAAATAAATTTTATTGACGTCAAATAAATGGAGTATAATGAATATACAGAACGGAATGAAATAAATAAATGGAATGAATATGCGATTGAAACTAATACAACTATGAGATAATAATGTTAATGACTCATCTACCAAAATTCGTAAAAGCTTAATATCGACGACTGATAATATCAATGGTAATAACAGATAATGACGGAGACAACAAGAGTAATTAGGCTATTAATAATAAGAATGGTAAAATAATAATAATAATAATAATAATAGCAATAATAATGAATGAACAAATTATATTTTTAGTGAAGTAATCGCTAATTCTCTATCCAAAACGGACATTTCGTTCGAGTCAAGCAAACGCAAAGTGAAAGAAATAAACGACCAATGCAAAAAAGGAACGGTAAGGCATTTAAATGGACGATCATCGAGAGTATATTTAACGATTCGTATAACACTATCACCACCACAACACAGCTAAAGCATTCATCATGTGACAATACTTACGATAACAACACACATAATCAACAACAAACATTAATTTAAAATCCCGAAACGCAACAATAATATTCATACATCAGTCAATCCTTAACAAAATAATCATAAAAGCAACAACAATCTAAAAAGAAGGATCAAAAAAAGATTCGGTAAGAACAATATTATCGTTATATTGTGGCTGTGATGTGTTTTGTTGGTGATTATATTTATTAACAATATCAGATTTCATTCGATTATCACTAAAAGTTCATTATTATATGTTATAAGTAACATCCATAATAATATTATTAATTATTACATATTATCCAATCCCAATCGTCTGATTTCGTCAAGAACATCCTCTGGAATGGTATGCGTCTTGGTGGGTGTTTGTAGTGACTCGCGCTGATTCGTGAACATGTTCAGTTGTTCCTGTATTGGTATCAAATCACAACAATAATAATGACAATAACTACTCTATATTACAAACAAAAGAAAGACCTTGTAATGATGTATGATGTCCTGATCAGCAGGACAACTCTCGATGAAAGCAGCCGTACGATAAGCGGTGAGGATGTAATTCCAGAGATAGGTCAGATTGTGTGGTATATCGAAGTTTTGTATGACGTGCTGTCCAATGATGCGGATGTGATGAAGTCTCGGCATCAACTCACAGTCGTATTCAGTCATACTCGGGCCCAACAGGTAACGTGACGAACGTTCTTTCAACAGCTTAATTCATACGTTATACCTGCATAGTGGCAACATACACTCTAATAATAATAACAACACGAATACTAACAAAAATAATAACCTGATCAATAGTCGAAAGTTGTTCTATAAGCTTGTTATATGTGGCTAACTGTTGCGGAGGCAGTTGATTCATTGTTGTTGATTTCTTATGATCCTTATCGAAATCCACTTTGGCTCGTAGGAACACTTTGAAGTTCTTAATTTGATTTGTATGCTTGACGTATCTATCGAACTATCTCAGAAGCTTAATAATAATGACAAAGACTTACTCTATAGAGAGTTTCAATTCTCTTCTCAACACTCTGATCTTTCTCGAACAACGGAATGTGAAACTCTTTTGCCAAATGGAAGATACGTCCTTCAATTTCACGATTATCCGTGTACGTTGCATTTCTGAACAAATCAAATGTTTTTTATGCAACCGTTTATCACAAATAACAGTGATAATAATGTACCAACTTGCTCTCTTCGACCAGTATCGGTGGTTGCGCACCCAAAAAGCTTTTCTTGAATGCTTCCGAGTTAACGTTCACGGTTTTCACCTCAACCCTGACCACACCAATCTCATACAACGCATACAACTCCATCCAAAACTCTTGACAGAACAAGCACGCACCAATACGACGATTCTCGATTCCACTAGCCTTCAATTCCGTTCATTTACATCAACAATAAAACAACAAACAACATACCTTAACATATAGTTCCAACAGTGGCTTTTGTTGTGAACCAGCAAGCTGATGATCTCCATTCGCTTGTAACTGGTAATCGTCAGACATCTTAATTTGTTAATTTAACTTGATTTCGCAATCGGACCAACCTTAAATTCATCATTATACAACCAACCATTACAAAATAACTAGCAAGGTAACGATACGCAACTCCAGTTACTAATAAATAACTGTGAAAACGAACCGACTACTGTCTTACATCTACTCATATACTGTCTTAGACAATACTTGAATAGATGTAAATTTTATCAAAAACTACAATAACAAATTAAATTTCAAAA